AGCTGCACAGCATCTGATACCAGAGGAAACATTCATCCAAAAACTGTGATTTACATCCAGAAAAAGAGAAATTAAAGTTTCCAAAAGCAAAATCTGTGAATGAAAGTAACAGAGCTGCTCTAACACGCAGCCACCTTGAGCGGGGCAATTCTAGAAACCACTGTCCTGCTGTCCTCATACATGTCCTGTATCAGTCTAACATACTTTTCTGCCACTCTAGATTTCCTCATGCAATACCACACCTCCTCCCTCGGCATTCTGTCATATGCTTTTTCTAAATCCACAAAGACACAATGGAGTTCTTTCTGACCCTCTCTGTACTTCTCCATCAGCATTCTCAAAGCAAAGATGGTATCTGTGGTGCTCTTTCTTGGCATGAAACCATACTGCTGCTTACAGATAGTCACCTCTTGTCTAAGTCTTGCTTCTACAACTCTCTCCCAGATCTTCATTGTGTGGCTCATCAACTTAATTCCCCTGTATAGTTGCTACAACTCTGTACATCACCCTTGTTCTTAAAAATGGGCACCAGCACACTTCTTCTCTATTCCTGAGGCATGTTCTCACTCTCAAATATGTCATTGAATATTTGAGTCAAAAACCTCACTGCCATTTCTCCAAGACATTTCCAAACCTCCACTGGTATGTCATCACGTCCTACTGCCTTCCCCATCTTCATTCTTTTCAGAGCTTTCCGAACTTCACCCTCACTAATCTTTCCCACTTCCTGGTTCCCAGTTTCTATGACCTCTACTCTTCTTTCTCTTTCATTCTCTTCATTCATTAGCTCCTCAAAGTACTCCTTTCATCTTCTCGTCACACTCTCCTCACGTGTTAGAACATTACCATTCCTATATTTAATAAGCCTAACCTGCTGCACATCCTTTCCAGCCTGAGCTCTCTGTCTTGCCAATCGGTACAAGTCCTTCTCCCCTCTTTAGTGTCTAGTCTCCCATACAACTCATCATACGCCCTCTGCTTTGCCTTAGCTACTTCCCTCTTTGCTCTACGTCCCATCTCCTTATATTTCTGTCTCCTCTCTCCAGTCCTCTCACTGTCATATTTCTTCTTGGCTAAACTCTTTCTTTGAACAGCTTCCTGCACTTCACTATTCCACCACCAGGTTTCCTTATCATCCATTCTCTGGCCAGATGACACACCAAGTACCTTCCTACCTGTCTCTCTAATTATTGTTGCTGTAGTAGTCCAGTCATTTGGAAGCTCTTTCTTACTACCCAGAGCCTTTAACAGTTCCTCTCTGAATTTCTCACAACATTCTTCCTTCTTCATCTTCCACCATTTGATCTTCTTCTTTTACTCTTTTTCTTTTCTTCACAACAGCAGTCATTCTACACACAACCATCCAATGCTGTCTGGCCATGCTCCCCCCTGTCACAACCTTACAGTCTCCAATCTCCCTCAGGTTTCCTCTTCTACACAGAATGTAGTTGACCTGCGTACTCCTCCCTCCACTCTTATAGGTCACTCTATGTTCCTCCCTCTTTTGGAAATAGGTATTGACTATAGCCATTTCCATTCTTTTGGCAAAATTCACCACCATCTGTCCTTCCTGGTTTCTTTTCTTGACACCAAACCTACCCATCACTTCCTTATCCCCTCCGTTTCCTTCACCAATATGTCCATTCAGGTCTGCTCCGATCACCACTCTACTCCCTGGGAATACTCTCTATCACTTCATCCAGATCTTTCCAAAATGTGTCTTTCTCTTCCCCATCACATCTAACCTGTGGAGCATAACCACTGACAATGTTTAGCATCAGACCTTCTACTTCTACCTTCAGGCACATCACCCTATCTGACACTCTCTTCATCTCTACTACATTCTTTGCCAACTCCTCCTTTAGGACCACCTCTACCCCATTTCTCTTTCTATCCACACCATGATAAAACGGTTTGAACCCTGCTCCAATGCTGCAAGCCTTGCTGCCCTTCTACTTGGTCTCTTGGACACATAAAACATCTACCTTTCTTCTCTTCATCATGTCAGCCAGCTCTCTACCTTTGCCCGTCATTGTCTCCACATCTAGAGTTGCAACCCTCAGTCCTACATTCTTCACTTTCCTCTTCTCCCTCTGTCTCCTGACACGATTCCCTCTCCATGGTCTTTGACTAACAGTAGCACAATTTCCGCCGGCACCCTGTTTGTCAACAGCACCGGTGGCGGTTGTTGTTAAGCCTCGAACAATCCGGTATGGTTTTGCTTTGATGAACTCGCATTATTGTTTTGGCCAAAGTTTTTTTTCATCGGATGCCATTCCTGACACAACCCTCACCATTTACTCGGGCTTGGGACCGGCACAAGAGATACACTGGCTTGTGCTCCCTAGTGACTGGTTTAAATGACCCTAATAGCTTCTGGAAAACCATCAAATCTCTGTCAGGCAGCCCCCAATCATCTGACCTCCCATCACAACTTCTCATTAACTCTGTTCCTGTGTCAAATAAGCATGAGAACCGGAACTGTTTCAACAAAGATTTTGTTGCTTCGAGTTCCTTATTTGACACAGTTACTAACGGAAAATCAGCCACTTCACTGAATAACCAAATTTCTACAAATCAAATCCCTCTTACAAGTCAATCCTCAGTTAATCACACCTTCTCTTTTTCTCCGTTCTCAGTTAGTGAGGTAAATAAACTGTTAAAAGGTCTTGATCCTAAAAAATCTTCAGGACCAGAACTTCCACCTTATTTCTTAAGGCTGACCACTCATATCATCACAGTCCCTGTGACCCACATCTTTAACCATAAGCCAAAACTCCATTCCAGACGCTTGGAAAACGGCCTTTGTTCTTACTTTTGCTGAAGGGAGGTGACCCTCACCTCACTGAACAACTATCGCCCAAACTCTAAACTCTGCATTTTAGCCAAGGTTCTAGAAAAACTGATACAATCTCAAATCAAAAATTACCTGGACTCATTTAACATCTTACCTCTCCATCAATCTGGTTTCAGGAAACAACACAGCACGACGACTGCTTCACTGAAGGTTCTTAATAACATTGTTGAAGCATTGGATGCTAAATGCTAAGGATTATTGTGCTGCACTTTCTTAGACCTGTCTAAAGCTTTTGACACTGTGGATAATAACATCTTGTGTCATAAGCTCTCTGAAATTGGTTTCTCAGAACACACCATTGGTTGGTTGTCTAACTATCTCTCAGATCAGAGGCAATGTGTTCAACATAATGGTACTTATTCCAGGTATTTAACAGTCAACAATGGTGTACCACAAGGCTCAGTCTTAGGACTCACCCTCTTTACAATCTATATAGGTAATGTAGGTCAGAGCATCCCTGATGCATCCTTACATTTCTATGCGGATGACACAGTTGTTTTGTGTCGAGATAAAACAGTTGCTAGGGCTTTCCAGCTTTTGCAATCTGCATTTGACATAATCCAGTCTGATTTTTTCCACCTCAAACTTGTCCTAAATGCCGACACAACCAAAGGGATGCTTTTTTCAAACAGGAAGTCGGTCCCAGCAGTTCTTCCTCTGATTTTATCCTCAAATGGTGTCCCCATTGAGTTTGTTGATTCCTATAAATATTTGGGTATCTTGGTCGACTCACATCTTTCTTTTAAGATCCATGTGGAAAACCTAGTAAAGAAACTGAAAGTTAAACTGGGTTTCTTTTTCAGAAACAGATCCTGTCTAACTTTGAATGGTAGGAAACGCTTTGTAACTGTGACTTTCCTTCCCTCCATTGATTATGGTGACATTATTTACATGAACGCTCCTACAAGCACCCTGCAGATGTCGGATGCTGTCTATCATGGTGCACTAAGATTCATAACTGGCTGTGATTATTGTACCCGTCACTGCACCTTGTATTCACTGGTTAACTGGACATCATTAACTTCACGCAGACTCTCTCACTGGTACATTTTCATCTTCATACATCTCCTCCTACATGTCTCTGCGTGAGTGCAGCTACAGCGTGCGCTCTCAGGACATTATTACATGCAGTGTTCCCTCAGTGCGGACTGAACTAGGCAAAAGGGCCTTCTACTCTGTTCCTGTTTCCTGGAACATCTTGCAGAAAAATCTGAAGCTCTCGACCTTGTCTAAGTGACTTCAAACATCTGCTAAGCTCATGGCAAAAACCAACGCAGACATGTTCTTGTTTTTAGTATTTTACACCACTTGATAATGTAGCTGTTTTTGTTTCGTTTTTATTTCATTTCTTCTATTTACTTTTCATTTGATATGCTTTTTATATGATTTTCTTTTGTTGTCTGTACCTCATTTGTGTTCTTTGTTTAAAACAGGTTTCTCTTGTAATGAGTCCTCTAGGCTCAATGAGACTAACCTGTATAAATAAAAGTCAAATGAATTGTGAGGAATTCAGGTTTGTGAAAGAGCATAATGCTCAACTTCTGTCACAAGTTTAATATACAGTATATCTAAGTGCAGCGTTGTTTCCCCTAAACTAGTTTTCTTTTTGCCAGAATGCAGCTTGTATCTGTAATGCCATTTTATCAGTCTTAACTTCCAGAATACAGCTTGTAACATTATCAAACTTTTAATTGTAATAAATACAGTTTAGATCCAGTTCTTTAAATGTCACTAATAGCTCTTAGTGAGACCAACATGAAAATAAAAAACAAATCTTTTAAAGGCACAGTTCAGGTTTGGTACAAATACTAATGACTAAAATGTATCACCCGAAATCATTCTTTGTAGTTCCACATGGTCCTTGGATATTTTGCTTACTGACAGGTTGATATTCAACCTGTCAAGACTATCAGCAGGTATTTGCAAAGCATTGAATAAAGTTTTGAAAACATCACCAGAAGAAAATTTCAGGGATTTTAAATGTGTTGTTGTTATTAGATGGTTGCATTTTTGCTCTCATGTTTTAATCTTTTCAAAGAGCAAACCTTTAAAATAGAAATATAAAAAATATAATGCATATAATTTGTCTTCAAAAGCATTTGTCTGTAAAGTTTAATTACATTTTGTCTGTTTTTCTTTCTAGCTGCAAACAGTGTGTGGATAAGTGAGCACCCAGAGTGTGGTTATAATCTGGTAAACTCTCCTCATTTGCGTCCTGCCTGGGTGCTTGACAGAGCAATCTGGCATCTAACCACCAAAGTAGCAGACGGCCTCTACAAAAGCAAAGGACTTCCTCCGGACATTACTGAGGAGAGCCATCTAAATGTAAGTGCTGAGGATGTTGAAACAAATGTGTCACGACTGCTGTCTCATTAAATGTTAAACACATGTGGTCACAGACTGTAAGTTTATAGTTTAAACCAGGACTGTTCAACTAAACTGCTCAGGGGGCCACATTTTCTGAAAGCCAGAGACCAGACATCCAGCGATTAAAGTAATTAAGTTTTACAATGATCTGTTACCTTTTAAATTGGTTTATTTTATTGCATTGTACCATAAGTGCAATAAACAGAACCCAAAACCCAAACCAAGAACCAAAAAAAAAGTTTATTATTATTATTTTTTTATTAAGTCATTTGTGGGCTGGCTTGAAGTCACCCCCGGGCTGGAAATGGCCAGTTGAATAGCCCTGGTTTAAACTCAAAAAAGTACGGTGGCCCACAGGTGCAAACGTGCTACAAACAGTTAAAACACATAGGGCTGAAATGATTCCTCGAATCATTTGAGTACCTCAATTACAAAAAAATCCTTGAGGCAAATTTATCTGCCTTGAAGCTTCATTAAATTATTCAGAGCATTGTGGTCTAGCTGGAAGGTTTTTGTTACACAATGCTAGCGCTTCCGCTAACACATATGTGCTAAGTTTGTAGCTATGGAGGGAACGGAGACTGCCTGGAAGAAGAGCCCTGAAAACAACAAAAACTGTAAAAAGTTTGTGAACATGTTAGGCTAAACAGAAAAGACAACACAGCGAAATGCATCCACTGCAAAGCAGAATTGATGTAACCACAACAGCACGTCATCGATGTTGCAGCATCTGAAGAGAAAACCCCCACTGTAGCATCAAACTCGTCCGCAGCTGTAACAGGTATCGTTCTCTTTGCAAAATACGTTCACCTAAATGTGTGATAATCTGTCATGTTAAAGATGTAAAATGAGGCATATTTTTGTTAACGTTAAATCTACTGACTAATCATAGTGGCTACCTGGCAGGGTCTGTACGTTGTGTGAGGAACAAAAAAACTATGCAGGACATAATGCAAGTTTGTTAACGATAAAAGCCCAGCAACAGACTGACTGCATGAGCTGAAACACATTTATTTATTGCTGAACTTCCATCCTGACTTAAATGAGATATTTAAGGTGAATATTTCCAAGTTTAAATGTATTTACATAAGTTGGTAGGATTGTTTTTTCTTCTTGCTACTGCTGTTTATGACTTAACAACTGGGATTAATCTGCATTTATTACTACTGTCATATTTGTTTATAGCTAAGCAATCAAGACTAAATAATAATACAGTCTGCAGAACTCAAAAGTACAAACTAAAACTTTACATTATCTATCTTACTCAGTTTCTAACATAAAGATTCCATTCAGTTTCCAATCCATAAAAATTATTTACAGCATTTAGATTTTTCTGTGATGGTTAAAAATAATTCATTGACAGTGTTTTAATTAAAGCATCCTCAAACCTTATACATAAATAAAAGCATAAATCAAATACAACTGACATACTAATGTTACTTTGATTGCAGTAGGGTCATCAGAAAGTGTATATTACTTAACAATATTACATAATTTTATAATATCCAATGAAGTACACTTGAAAATTTATTAAGGCATAACAAACAAATAATAATTTTATTCTTCTTTTCAGTAAATGGCAGAGTCATACATTGGACAGCTTCGTACTAAGGGCTCCAGGATGTTGGGTTGTTCAAGCAGCTGAGTTCACAAACAGCATTTTAAATATGATCATCACAGACATGCAGCCGCTGTCAGTGGTGGAAGATGAAGGCTTCCAGAAGATCATCTCCACCTTCAATCCGAATGATGTCCTTCCTTCCAGATTCTACTTTGTAAATTCCATTAAGTTTTCCAATCCATAAAAAAAATATTTTACAGCATTTAGATTTTTATGTGATGTTTAAAAATAATTCAACTTAAACAATAAAATATTTTAAAAAGAGAAATTAAATGGGTTGTTTATTTAATGTTCTTTTTTCGTGTATTTGTATTACTCATAAAATGAGTAAGGTAGTTACTGCAGAACCTGACAAATAAAGTTTTCAATTACTCAATTAATTGCCAGAATAATTTATAGATTACTTGATTACTAAAATATTCGTTTACAACAGCCCTACATCACAGCTTGGACCAACTTTTTATTTACAGTACTCGACTCAATTAGAATCTGATACCTGAAGACCAGATATGCAAAATCTACCTGCAGACTTCAAGAACTACCCCGACACTACAGTCATCTTTTGATTACTAAAATATTAGTTTACAACAGCCCTAAAAACACATTGCAAACACACGAATGATGCAAACTCCAAAACAAACAAACAAAGAAAGCAACAGAAAAATGCCACGAAAGAAAAATAGAAGAAACATACAACCAAAAAAATGAATGCAAAGGGAAAATGCTGCAAATACAAGAAACACCAAAACAACTGCAAGTAAGAAAAGCTGCAAACTCACTCCGAAAAAATGGAAGTGCACCAAACCAGGAGGGGGCCTTGACCACAGAGTCATATGGGACCAGACCACTGTAAATACATTACAGCTGAGCAGCCACTGGCCGAAGAATGGCTTATTTTAGGAGTTTAATGAGCACCAAGTACTTAAATCTTCAACCTACTTTATTTTAAATATAAATTCTTTCTGGTTATTTTAAGCCTGGTTGTACAAAAATCAGAGCGCTGGGACTGAAATGGTCCTCAGAATATCCTGATGCATGCTCAATAATCCAGGTAGAAAAATCCAAAAAAGTTAAATCTGGTCCTCTGGACATTCAAAAAAACAAAAAACAAAACAAAGCAAAAAAATTCTAGAAACGTTTCGTCTCTCATCCAAGAGACTTCCTCAGTCTGAGGTGCT